ACTTCAGGATTTACCTGAAAAGTATATTTCCGAGTTTTTTTTAAACTCATAAGCACTCAAGCGTACACCTTAAAATGATAAATACCTTAGGGTGCACCTGAAATTAAAAAACACTAAAAAAATCATCCTAAGTATGATGAATTCTTCTTGGCGCATGTTTAAATAAAATGCTTTAAGATGCACCTAAAAAAGATAAATATATCAAGGTGCACCTAAAAGTTATAACTACTTAAAGGGAGCATCTAAAAATAATAAACACTTTACGGAACATGTAAAAAAATAAATAATCAAGGACGCCCATATAATCATAGTCATAAGAAATAGATAATCTGATCACAAAGTATGGAAACGGATAAAGAGTTTAAGGGTGAATTTGATATTGAAACATAATTTTTGTCTATGGAGAATGATTTTCGTTATGCAGACGAAAATTTTTATAAAAGTTTAGACGTCTTGGTGTTGGAGTTGTCTAGTGAACCTGTTGAAAGTACAATTTCTTGCACAACTTGCTTTAAAAGTGCATATCTTCAAAGTATTCCTGATTTGTATAGAAATGAATCTAAATATTAATACGGCAATGAATATTATTATTATTATTATTATTATTATAAGTGCGTGTAGTTACGTATTATTTCGCCTATTACTCGTTTTGTTAATTACGGTTCTGCATTATGTAAAATACACTATTTCTTAGTTTTTAAGTTGTTTCTAGTCTTTTCTGAGCGCAGTTATATATTCCAAGCGGTCTCTCGAGTGAAATCAGCAAGCAAATTCGAACTGATACACTTATTTTCAAGAAATGATGTTGTTTATTTAAAAAAAAAAATGTGTAAATAATTATTAGTTTGTTATGTGTGTGTGTATATATATATATATATATATATATATATATATATATATATATATATATATGTATATGTGTATATCTATATGTATTTTCTCTTAGCAAAAATTATAGAGAATAAAAAAATAAAAAAAGTTCTTCTGGAATTTGTCAAAAGAATGTTGTGTTATGCTTCATTTTAAGGTATTTAAATATGTATTTAATTTTCATTTTTTAGAATAAGTTAGAAATAAATATATTATATATATATATATATATATATATATATATATATATATATATATATATATATATATATATATATATTTTTTTTTAAATACAAAAAATACAACTTTTTTATGGGACTTTAAAGTAATAAGTATCAATCACTCTTAAACTGACAAAGAGATGTATTAAATCCAACAGAATACAACACAACTCAATAATTATAATAGTAATTTCCCTTTAATTTATCATCTTTTCTTGCATTTGACGTCACAACTTTTTGCGTACATTTTTTTAGCAACAGGAGGGTGCCTTTTTCGAAGATATAGCACCTCAACTTTTTATAGACCTACTGATTGGGTCCTTTTAATTTTTTATTTTTGTATCGTTTATTTTATCGGAATATGATTTAATTTATGATATGCGGTAACTTTGACACAAAGTTTCTGAAAATAAATTTAATTTGAAATACAATTTAGTCAATTTTTAGTAATAAAGTAGGTTAGAAGTTGGGGCATGTAAAAGCTTAGGCTTAGGTCTACCATGGCCTACTTAAATAAACGGCCTTCTATTCTGCTTAAATCGGAAAAAAATAGAAGGCCAGTTAAAATAACGCATTTTGTCGGATGGTTTTTGTCGGATGGACAATCTTTCTAATAATATTTTAATTATTGAGTTATGAATTTTAAGTAAGTAAATCTGGCACGGGATAAAAATTTTTGCGTTGGCTTAATCGAAATATCTACTAAACCACTAAACTTTGTATACTTTATTGAGGCTTCTTTTTAATAATAAATCATGATAAATTAGTAATCATGATTAATAAATGCTGTGTTTATTGAAAACAACACAAAATTTATTTACCTTCATAATTACATATTACTTAAATGATTTTATAAACACATGGGTTATATTTGTCAATAGAATTTTTGTGATATTCAAGGACTGTACAAGAAATAAAAATACAAAAACTCTCAAAAGTAAGCTTTAAAAGTATAAACAAAATTGAACACAAACTGATTAAATTTACTGATTAATGCGAAAAAAAAAATGTTCTTATTTTTTTCTCTGTTTTTGTTTAAAGACAACAATGTTATCTGCAACAATGGAATCACAGACTCTCTTTCTGATGTTATTAAAATAAATATTTGAAATAATAGTGTGTATAATTTCTTTTCCACAATTTTGGTGATTTAAACATAAAAATGGTTGGTAACCTTCTCTACTGCCAAGAACTAACTTTGCTGCTTTACGGTGTTGCATTCGAGACTGATAAATAACATCAAACACATGATCTAGCATAGCAAAACTATCACAGACATATTCTAAAAGGGGTAATGATGGAGTTATTAGCCCACCTCTGGACAATATATTTAAATAATTATAATCATTCAACTCCTGTTGAAAATGTTGAGTACAAAGCAATTTGCAACATATTTTAAACTTCTTATTCAGTTTTTTGGCAATAAAACCAGCAATATAACTAGCAACTTCACGAGAATCATCTGATAAAGTCACACAATCTAAATCTCTTTCTTTGATCTGATTTATCAAGGATCTAGCATGTTGTGTATCTTCTACAGCATTAATATCATTTTCGAAAATTTGAATTCCTTCCTTTATTAAACTTTTTATTTGGATTATCTTCTCACTATAAATAACATCTTTCAAACTGACAAGGAACCTGCCACCACTCATTTGGCGGTATTGTCCAAATCTTCTTTCTAACGGATCACTTTGAAAACGAGCAGTCAATATAAATTTATAATTATCTTCTAACAGATCTTCTATTAATAAAGCATGACATAATAAGTTCTTTGTAGTGCTGATAATGTTTGAGTGTATATTTCTCAAAATTTGGAATTTTTGTGTTTTTCCATTTATTTAACCAGTCAGTGAAAGCTCGAAAAAACTCAGGTTTTTTATCATTAATTATAGCAGCATTTCCAAGACAGTTGTTAGAAAATTGATTTTTTGAATTTGTAATTATCCACCATTTATTAAAAAGAGTTAAGAAAGATGCAATATCTAAACGGTCGGGAAAACATGATTTTATTGCTGCTGCTGTAGTTTCATGGAAGATACCTAAAGCAATAGTGACATTTTGATTGTAGTTTCCAGGATGGACAACTTTGCTATTTATTTTTGGTGCTTTTTTTAAACTCGCATGCAACAGGCTGTCCTTTTCTAATAAATCATGAAATATTTTCCATGATATTTCTCCTGGTTGAACATGAATTTCATCTTTAAAACCTGAAAAATGAAATTCTGGAAAAATAAACCTTTTTTTATTTAGTAAGTTGTTTCGAATGTTTTTAATCAAATGCACTGTGTCAAAGAATAGGTAAATTTTTTGCGATTGTACATTAATAAACAAATCATCAGGTTTTTTACCATGTGCATTAAGCAACTATGTAAAAGAGGAAACATTTGAAGCATGATTGTCACAAACAACACCTCGAACATTAAAACTATTTTTTATTAAAGATTGAATCAGGTTAAGAATTTCAGTCTTCAACCAATCACTGTTTAATTTTATAATTGGAACTGCTTTGACGACACAAGAGATATTTTCTTTTAAACCAACTACCATGAAGGAAACAATGCTTCTATAACATTCATTTTCCTCACTAATCCCAAATATATCTCCGCCAGAATATTCAGCACATTTTCGCAAATACATTTCATCAAAAATTATTAAAAGATCTTTTGATAAGCTCCCATTTTCATGTAACAACTTTAAAACTTTCATAGAATCAATTTCACCTGCTTTAAACTTGCCTAACAGTGATATAGATGGAAGTGGGAATTCCTTCAGCAGTAAATTATATGTTTGCAATGATGTGTAACGCAGCATCAAGGCAAATTGAAGCATATTTGAAAAACAAATTTGATTTTTTTTTACTTGGTGACTTTTAAGTTCTTCAAGAATAGAAGACAGCTTCTCTTTTTCGATGCTAAAATGTGAATTGAAGTTTTCCAGCATACTCCTTCTCTTTAACACACATTCGTGGGTTACTCTAAACCAAGGTGGTAAAGAAACTGGAAGATTTTTATAAAAAAGTTTAACGTGAAGATTTTTGTCAATACGAATACATTCAGCAACTTGAGGTATGTGAAGTTCATTTTGAATAATTTTATGGAACACAACACAATCATCAAATTTAGAAAATGAATATCCTGTTGGTGAATCATCAACTGTAAGAGAATTAAGATCTTCAATAACATCATTTGATAAAAATTTCTGATATTCATCTTCTTGAAAAATTCTTTTAGTTGGTGATTTTCTTGATGGCGACATAACTGGAAGTGAAGCCGTTGCTATGCTAGCCGGATATATTGTAAGAACAGGCTTCAAATTATACAACAAACGAAATCGTTTTGCTGATGCTCCTTTGTGTATTAAATTTTCATCAAAATGTTTTAAACAGATCCCAGATGATTTAGTGACAGTCCAGAAATTTCTGTTTACAAATCTAACCCATAACTTTCTTAAGTCATCATGTTTTGGAAAACCAAAAACTGGGACTACTTCACCACCATTATAATTAGAGGTACAACAAACAACACAGCATTTATTAACCATTATTATTATTAATAATTAAAAATTAGTCACAAATAACAATACAGTTTGGCATTAATCTAACGCAAAAACTTTTATCCGGTGTCAGATTTACTTACTTAACATTTATAGCGCAATATTTAAAATATTTTGAGAGAGTCTGTCCATATAATAGAATATACGTTATTTCAACTGGCCTTCTATTTTTTTTCGATTTAAGCAGATTAGAAGGCCGTGTATTTAAGTAGGCCATGGGTCTACATTGTAAAAATATGTCAACTCTAAGTACCAAGCCTAAGCCGAATCCCCATTGATTTGTTTATATTTTTCTTGTAGATGTAATTTAAAAAAAAATTTACTTTTTCTTATAGGTATTATAATAGAATAAAAATGGATCCTGTCACGTTCTACGGAAAGTCTATGAAAAACATTATCATCAGAGAATTACCCAAGGATTCAGAGGACAGTGAGCTATCTTGTGAGGAAGATGAAGTTGAAGAGGATCACAACTTGTCAAGTTCTGATAGCTCAAACTCTGATGGTTAGATTTAATTTTCCCATCTAATTATATAAAATCTTGTGTTTAGGCCTATAACTTAAGCAGCACTAGTCTCAACACTGTTATTTTTTTTATGAATTTACATTTTGAAGATGATGGTGATGCCAAAGAGGATGCTCCAGCCAGCAGCCAACCATTAGCCAACAGCTCAAGGCCTCATATTTGGCGAGAAAGAACTGATCGTGCTGATCGGTCCTCAGATATACCGAATTTCATTGGGACAGAAAGAGAACCTGGGCTATTGCGTGAGCCAATTGAATACTTCAGGGAAATATTTACCAAAGGAACCTTTAAGAACATCGTCACAGAATCTAACCGGTACAGCTTACAGCAGGACATTAATAAACCTGCCAATATTACAATGGACGAGCTAGAACAGTTTCTAGGGATTATCTTTTATATGAGTGTAGATCGCCTACCACGCTCCAGATTGTACTGGAGCCCTGATACAGGAGTTCATCCTGTAGCTGACACTATGAGACAAAAACGATTTGAAGAAATCAAAAGAATTTTGCATTTTTCAAATAATGAAAACAACAATGGAGATAAACTCCATAAAGTCAAACCACTTTTAGATGTTTTCAAGGCCAGCGTCAACAGCATTCAAAAATCAAAAATGATGAGCGTTGATGAACAAATAATACCTTCCAAAGGAAAACCATCACTTAAACAATATAATACTAAAAAGCCAAAGAAGTGGGGATACAAAGTTGTTGTGTGCTCGGGTAGCACTGGCATCATTCACAATTTGGAGTTCTATGTCGGCCAAATCCAACATTGCCCTGGAAAACCTGATCTGGGTGCATCAGGCAATATAGTTCTTAGACTTGAACAAGATGTTCCTAGACATTGCTGGCATCAGGTATTTTTCGATAATCACTTCTATTCCCCTCCAAGTGCTATTATGAAAAGAAGGAATAGCGAGCATGGAAACTGTCCGTCCCAATCGTTTAAAAGGCTGCGCATTTCCTCCAGACAAAGAGCTATCAAAAAAAGGAAGAGGCTCTGTTCTACTGAAAACCGGAGTTTTTGATGGTGTGCAGCTGAATGCTGTCAGGTGGATGGACAACAAAGCTGTGACTCTTCTTAGTACCTTTGCTGCAGTAGAGCCAGTAAAAAAGATCAGAAAATGGGACAAGAAAGAGAAGAAGGATATTGAGGTGGACTGGCCTTCTATCATTATTCTGTACAATGCCTTTATGGGTGGTATCGACCTGTTGGATTCCCTGGTGGCATTATATAGAAACCACATCAGATCCAAAAAATGGTACCACCGAATCACTTTTCATATCTTCGATTTGGGTGTAGTTCAAGGGTGGCTTCTGTATGCTTTTGATTTTTCTAAATCAGGTCTACCACCATCAGCTAAATTGCCACTGCTTCAATTCAAAATTAACGTTGCTCTTTGCTTAATGAGACAGAATAAAACTATGGTGGCAAAGAATAGGGGTCGACCTTCTTTGGAAGTTGAGCCACAACTGCAGTACAAAAAGCAAAAGGGTCCTGCGGCTGTTGTTCCAAACTTCTCAATCCGCACAGACAATGTGGGACATTTTCCAATACAAGTATCTGAAAAAGGCAGGTGTAAATTGCCTGGCTTCAAAGGTTTTCCTTGAACAAAATGTGAGAAATGTAATGTCCATTTGTGCCTCACTCATAAATGAAATTGCTACAAAAGTTTTCATCAGCCATGAAAATAAAATGAACATGTAGCCTCATTCATATTTTCCTGTTGTTTTCCTCTTTAATATTAAATTTTGATATGAATTAATATATCTTTCTGCAATTAAAATATCTTTCTGCAAATAATTTATTTATTCATTGTGTCAATTATTTGTTTGATTATGCATTTTGTCTACCATTTGTTTGTTTATGCATTGTGTTTACTAGTTTTTATTTGTTTGTCTGTCCAATAGGTTTGTTGCCATTTGGCAACATTAAAACAATTTTACCCTCAGTTGCGCATTGGTGCCAATTGGCAACATAGCTACAAAAGCATTATTTTGAAATTTTAAACAAAAACAAAATTTATTAAATTAATTTATATCCCATATAAGATGTAAATACTGAAGGAAACATTTTTTAGTTGTTTTTTTCTTAATGTGTACCATATAGGGTTAAAATCAATAAAGCGGTAAAATCTGCTGAACCTCCCAAATCTATTTGGAAACTGTTTTTTGTTAGAGTGCAGCATTCTTACAGTAAGCTAATTTTACGTTTAATGGTTTTAAACTTACTTGTTCAAAAGAAATTCATTTTTAATTTTTATTATCTTAAAAGCACATGTGAAACTGCTAATTACAGGTTGGATATTGCAGAGGACTGCTCAGAACTTCCAACAGAATCAGATATTGACGCAAAAAAAAAAAGGAAAGCAAAAAGGTTAATTATTTTATTCTAACTTCAATTTATTTGATTATTTCAGTTAATTGTTAACATGATGTTTAAAATTATGCTATGTATAACAATATTCTATGTTATGGTATTCATTTTATCTATTGGTAATATAAAATTTATCTATTATTAATATAAAAATTTATTTTATCAATAGATAAAATTAATACCAAAACATAATAACCCTACAACACAATAGTAGTCTCTGAAATAAAAAGGTTTAAAAACTAATTTAGGTCATTACCAGTTTTATGGAATTAATTGTGTGATTCAGATTCCGATTATACATAATCTGAAAATAGAAAGAAGTTTTCGGTATCAATTTTAACCTCAAACCTGAAGTTTCCTACTCATACTCAGTTGCCATCTGGTTAAATTTTTGCATTTTAATAAATATTTTACAGATCATAATGATCCACCAACTTTCTTAACATTAATGATTGTAATGGGCCATTAATGACATTTAAAAAATAAATTATGTTTTCCTTATAAAAAACAATTAATTTAAAAAAATAAATTATGTTATTATACTATATTTTGTTTTGAAAAATATTTGATATTACAAATATGTTTATAATACATTATTAGTGCATAAAAATTCAAAATAAGCCTCTTCAAAATGCATCATCTACTAATTGCTCTCTCTCGTCATTATTTTTAAATAATTTATCTTTTATTAAATGAGGTTGGTTAACACTTTTTATTTTAACTTGAAAGTTTTACAATTTTTAAAGTTTAAACTATGGCTTGCAAACAGTTTGTTTGCATAAGTGTGCTTGTAAAAATAAGCTTAAATATTTAAATAGACAACCAAACTACACTACCATCATCAATATTAACACCAGTGCTTACTATAGCACTGCAAGTAGAGCACCTGATTTTATATATATCATAATATTGTATGTATATATATGTATATGTATGTATATATATATATATATATATATATATATATATATATATATATACATATATATATATTTATATATATATATATAAATATATATATATATATATATATATATATATATATATATATATATATATATATATATTTGTTTTTCTTTTTATGCTATGTTTTCGTTATATTTAAATCCTTGTTAAATAGAAAAATTTTAAACGACATATTTTTGAATATATATATTTAATTAATTTTACAAAAGCTATGTTAGTTCATTACTAATTGCTAAATATACAGAGTACAGATAGAAGGGAATAAAAGGGAGACCGATGGGGATAGAGGAAACCCTAAAGTATATTAAAACATATAAATAGACCAAATAGGTATTAAAGAAGACCAAAGGATAACCAGGGAAGCTGGGAAGCACTTAAGTCACAATCTACCAGGAAGACTAAAGGTATTTTATTTTATCATTTCAATTAAGTTTATGGCTTGGTTTATGGTAAACGTCATTACTTTTATATATATAAAATTTACGTATATCAAATATAGACATGTTTTTGGAACTTTCATATATTAAAAATTAACAAACGAAATGTTATAACAATTATCAAAGTGTGCTATGATGTTACTATTGCATATATTTTTTAAAAATATATTACAGAAAATCTGTATATTTAATTTTTAAAATATATAATTTTTTTTAGTTTTCTCAAAAACGGGTTTTTTAGCAAATCAGCCCTTTTAAAGAACACTGATTCAATTATCAACTTTATGCTTTAAATGAAGATTCAAAATATGATATCATGTCAGCATAAAAACTTTTGCTATGCTACTAAGTAATTTTTTAGTTTATTCTATTTGCTGCATTTTAGTATCTATACATGGCATGTTTGTGTATATATTTGTCGACTTTATATTTTTTAGTAATTAAAAATAAAATATAACTAATAATAAGCAACATATCAAAACAAATTATTTAGCAATTAATGGCGCTTAAAATTTTGAAAGCGAATAACAGTTCAATAAGTATCTCAAAGTATTCTTGTCAAAGTCAGAAAATGGAAAGAATAGTTGGAGTAGTCAAAAAGGCACCAGAAAGTAGATATAGCTATGAAAAAAAAAAAAAAAAACCTAAATTTGAATTAAAAGCACAATGGAAATAAGCCATTTATACATTTTTTTAAAGCCTATTAAAACTTTTCAGTCTATTTTTTTTATTTCTAAAAGTTGTGTTTCTTTGCTTAAAGGTTATTTATGAGCAGAAAGCACTTTAAAACTTATTTTCCGTATTTAACACCTTGTATCCCTTATTCTAATAAAATACCTAAACAGTATTTTAGTAGAAAATTATTGTTATACATCTAAATGCTAAAAAATTCGATTATTGGTGCGACCCCTACGGAGGCTAGCACGGACTTAAAAAATGATATGCATCCTATACGCATATATAGAAACCCCCCACAATATGCTGCTTCATAAAAATAATTTTGACCCGCTCTCATCTTAATTATTAATAGCGGAATGAATATTATTTATATTAGTGCGCATAGTTACGCGTTTTGTTTTATAGTTACGGTACGGTTCTGTATCTGTAAAATACACTTTTTAAGTAGTTTCTAGACTTTTCTTTACCGCGTGCTTTCTTAAAGATTTCCTTTCAACCTTTCATGGTACGAGTTCTAAATGTCCAAGTTGACATTAAGTAGATAATGTTTAGTAGCTTGAAATTATAGGTAATCTAAAATCTTTTTAAAATTTAAAAGTAGTTAATTTATAGTAATCTTTTTTAAACTGTAATTTTAAATTTAAAGCTTCGTGTTACTTTAATTCTTAGTTTATAGTTTAGTAGCTTGTTATAGTGTTTAGTAGCTTGAAATTATAGGTAATCTAAAATCTTTTTTAAATTTAAAAGTAATTAATTTATTGTAATCTTTTTTAAATTGTAATTTTAAATTTAATTCTTCGTGTTACTTTAATTCTTAAATTTAAAGCTTCGTGTTTCTTGAATTCTTAGATTGTGTCTAGCGTTAAAATATATTTTTGGATAGTTTCATGTTTTCACATAGTTTTGGTTATTGGGATAAAAGCCATGACAACATTTTGTTATAAATTTATCTTAACTTAATTTTTATTGAAAATTGTTATAAATAAAATTTATCTTTAATATTGTTAATACATTAGCTCTTTGAAAAAAAATATGTTTCTGGCACTTCAATAAATATAAAATAAATTGTCTTGCATGAATGAATGTTGGTTAAGGATTTAATTGTGTTATTTATGTTTGTCTATCTGAAACTTATTTAGGTTATTAGAAAATTCATGTTTCCAGAATTGTTATTAATCATAATCGAGTTGTTAAACCAAGGAAATTGTGGAGGTTTATTTATCATATATACTATATATATATTATATAATTATATTGGTGGGAGTAGGCTTAAAAGCATTTTTAAATTTTTAAAAAGAAATAAAAATACTTTTCAATATATATCTGTATTCTTTGAGGTAGAATTAAAGTTTCAGTTTTTTAAAATTTAAATTTAAAGTTTCAAGTTTTCAAAATCGTAATCTTTTCAAAATGTCTAAGTAGACATTGAGTATTTGTAAAATCTTTTTAAAATTTTATAAGTAATTAGTTTATTGTAATCTTTTTTAAATTGTACTTTTAAATTTAAAGCTTCGTGTTATACATGTGAATTTTGAAATTATAGATTACTATAATTCTTAGATGGTGTCTACCAATAAAAGATATTTATGGGTAGTTTCATGCTTTCAAATGCTTTTAATAATTGAAATAAAAGCCATGACAACATTTTGTTATAAATAAAATTTATCTATAGTATTGTTAATACTCTAACTCTTTTAAAAAAAATATGTTTTTTTTATGTTCAAAAAGTTTAATAATTTGCCTTGCATGATTGAATTTTGGCTTAGGATATAATTGTGTTATTATATGTTTGTTTTTCTATTTATATCTAATTTATAAAGATTTAATTTATAGTTAAGATAAATATAATTTATTTAATTTAAAATTAAGATATAAAATAAAATATCTAATTTATAAAGATTTAGATCATTAGGAAATTTATATTTACAGAGATGTTATTAATCATAATCAAGTTGTTGAACCAAAAAAATTGTAGAGGTTTATTTATCAAATATACTATATATATTAAATAAAAATTTTTGGTTTTCATATGTTTTTAGCTAATAAGTAGTTCTATATATATATATATGTTCTATATATATATATGTATATATATATACATACATACATATATATATATATATATATATATATATATATATATATATATATATATATATATATATATATATATATATATATATATATATATATATATAAATATATATATATATAATATATATATATATATATATATATATATATATATATATATATATATATATATATATATATATATATATATATGTTCTATATATATATATATATATATATATATATATATATATATATATATATATATATATATATATATATATATATATATATATATATATATATGTTCTATATATATATGTTCTATGTATATATGTTCTATATAACTATGTATACCCTTGGAGTTGCGGCAAATATATATATATATGTATACCCTTGGAGTTGCGTAATAGTGTGTTAGGGGAAAAAAATTTAAAAACCTTCGTTAATAACCCGTTTTCTATTGTACATAACGCGTTAATAAGTTTTATTACCCGTTTTGTTCAATGTTTTCTCCCAACGCATGCCTTATTACGCTGTCTGCGAAGATATGTTGTTTGTTTCTAATTTTTTTTTCCTTTATTAGAAACAAATCAAATTTTAAATTTTTGTATTAAGTTTTTGCTAATATGGTTGCAGGTTTTTCTTAACTTCTATCAAATAAACTTAAGAAACCTGTAATATTTTTGATGATGGCAAATTAATTTTATTTTGCACTAGTTTAGATTCTTTAAATATTTGTTTTGAGAATTTTGTTTTTTAATTTTTTGAGTATGATTTTTTTAGTTATTTATTAAGTTTTTTTATTTTATTGTTAACTTTAATGTAGTAAAAAAAAAAGGCATAATTACTGTTGCTTTGATAAATATGTTTATTCAAAATGATGACATTAAAATGAATGATAGGCTAGATCAAGTTATGTATTTACAAAATAATGTAAGTGCTATAAGGCATGTTGAAAATAGTCGTAGACGAAATGAAAGAAATAGACTTAGGCGAGATGAAATTAATCATTGACAAAATGAAAGAAATAAGCTTAATCGAGAGAACGTTAATCGTCGCCAAAACGAAAGAAATAGGCTCAATCGATATAATGTTAATCGTCGCCAAAATAAAAAAAAAAGGCTCGATCGAGATAATGTTATTCGTCGCCAAAATGAAAGAAGAGCTGTTGGACAAGGACAAATGTATTCTATAGCGAGAAGTAATGCTATTCCAGATTATAATTATTTAGGAGAAATGAATAAAATTTGTCAGCACTGTGGTGCTAAGGAATTTTCAGATAAAACACATTTTCTATGTTGCCATAAAGGTAAGGTAGCTTTGCCTCCACTTTCACCAATTACACAAGCTTTACATGATTTGTTTACAGGTAGTTATGTAGATCGTAATGCTAATGCTAATTTTTGAAAACATATTCGAAATTATAATGCCTGCCTTTCTGTTGCTTCTTTTACAGCAAATGTTGTTCAACCAATGAATCATGGGCTTCCATTTTTTAAAATATGTGGACAGATTTTTCATCGTGTAGGTAATCTTAGGCCAGATCAAGATATTCCACCAATATATTCTCAAGTATACATTTATGATCCACTTGCTGCACTAAATTTTAGAATGCAACACTGTGGTAATGATCTTTGTTTACGCAATTTAATGTTTCAATTGCAAACTATAATTACGGAAAAAAGTCCATTTGTTCTTGCATTTAAAAACATGGCTAAAGTAGAAGATGAAGAAATTCGTAAGGCGGCTATAGAAGGTCGCTCAGCTTCTGTTGTAAAAATGTCTTTACTTGAAGGCGGTGATAGACGTCGTTATAATCTTCCTTAACATGATGAAGTTGTATTTGTTGGCGAAGATGATGCTCCCCCAACTTCCAGGAAAGTTGTTATTTACCCAAGAGGTCATCCTTTAAAAATTGTATCAAGTATGTCAGCCAACTTGGATCCTATGGTTTATCCGCTATTTTTCCCAAGAAGTGATGCTGGTTGGCATAATCAGTTGGTGCATAACCCTGAGCGTGCCACACTGGTTAGAAATCATGTTACATTATCTCATTATTATTACTTTTACTTGCAACCCAAAATGGCGTGAAATAACAGAAAACTTATATACGGGTCAGAATGCGAATGATAGACCTGATTTGGTTACTCGAGTATTTAAACTCAAGTTAAATAACCTCCTAAATGATATATTCGAACATGGCGTATTAGGCAAAGTTGTAACGCATGTTCAGGTTGCTGAGTTTCAAAAGGGTGGTTTGCCGCATGCCCACATTTTACTTCATTTAGCAAATGATGATAAACTTGAAACATCACAGGATATCGATAATTTGATTTGTGCAGAAATTCCAGATCCGATAGTTAATCGTGAACTTTATGATATTATCAAAAGTTGCATAAATCACGGCCCATGTGGGATACTGAATCCAAATTCTCCCTGCATGAAAGATGGGGTGGGCAGCAAAAATTATCCTAAAGATTTTAATGCCAACACAGTAGCTGTTCACAATGGTTATCCACGCTATATGCGTCGTGATAATGGGTTGGTTATCAATATTAAAGGCAACAATGTAGATAACCGTTGGGTATATAAATATATAATTATTGGGTATATAAGTATATAAATAGCTATATAAATACAATTTATTAATCTCAATTTGATTCTTCATCGATTCTTTATGTTTATAGTTTGGCTCCTTGAAGCATTTTATGTTTTGCTTTTTTTAATATGAGTATTTTAAATCCGTTGTGATGTCTTTTAAATTAAACTAAAGTTAACTAAAAGCCAACATAAAAATTACGTTTTTGAACAACACCAAATAGAACAGCTGCATCCCTACAGCAACTGCTACAGTATCACAATAGGTTACCAAAAGCAGGTATACTGTTTTCCAGTTGTTGTTCTTTTTCATATATATCTACTTATCTATATAATACTATAGTATGATTGTTTATATCTCATTCATTTTTTTTTTCTTAATCTTTAAGTGTTAATAATTTTATTCTTTGAATGAGATTAGTTAAACAAGTCGGCTTTCCATTAAAGATATTGGTTTCAAAATTGAACATCATTGGCAAAATGCTTACAAAATTAGGTAGTTTTTAATATAATAAACAATTAAACAAATTTAAAAAGCTACGTGATACTAATATGGTATCACGTAGCTTTTTAAATATGTTTAATTGTCGTCCCTATAGGTAATAAATATTTTAAATTATTTGATATGGTTTTCTTTACAATATGCTTATGCTTGGCTATGCTTGGCTCCTCGGTGCTGTAAATGGTGTCTTCAACTTTGTTTTTTTAAGAAAAATGTGTTTTACATATGCTTCTGTTTTAAAATTTTTTTGTTACATATTTAACTATATATCCTGTAAATAAATTTCTTTTAAAGATATGTAAACTTGATACTTGCTTTTTTACGGATTTCCAAAAAGTGAATAAAGGTTTTAATATATTTTTTAACTGTCTTATATGGTTTCATCAATTTTATTAAAGCTGAATAATTACTTCAAAAATATTGAGTAAAATCCAATTGCTTTTATATTAACCTGATCTATACAAAAATTAATGAAATAAAACTAATAATTTAACGCCAAGTTAAGGCAAAATGTATTCCGGACATTTTATAAAATTAGTATAAATATGGATTGGATGTATGCTGAAATAAATATGTTGATACACGTTAGCTATTAAAGTAAATCCATATACTCTTTTATTGTTTTTTTATAAACACGTTTCTGCTGGATAACTAATTATAAAAAAGGTTGGTTTAATAATAATCTTTATCATAACAATATAGGATGCGTATGCAGGGCTAAGCCCTTTTCGGAATTGCGATATATTTTTCAACTTATAGTTTTTCCGGATATCCAACTACTATGCCTACGAGTTTGGGTGTAATATTTTAGATGTTTTAAAAATATTTAAAAAGTATATTAATAATATTAAAAAGTTTAGGTACGATAGTGACATACTTTTAAGCTCTTCACTCAGTAAAATGAAAAGTTTTTAAAAAAAAAAGAAACGACTCAGCTTAAAGCAAAATTAAGAGTAGAATATATTCCCAATATTTACCTAAACAATTTTACGGAATTTGAAAATTTGACATCGATGTTCTGTGCATATAATTCAAGTTATTTTTAACTACTACATGGTTGTGATTTGAGCATTCAATGTCTAAACATTGCAAAAGAAATGGTTAACTTTATCTTAAATGAAGCTAAAAGTTCTCTTAAACTAAAAAGCCAAGAAAAATAAAAATGAGCTCAACTAAAAAAATGTATAAATAAATTTATATTTCATTAGAGAAAGTAAATAAAGATCAAATTGTTAGTAATGATTTATTTACTACTAACCCGTACTACGGGTTGCTTACTGTATAAATAAATTTATATTTTATTAGAGAAAGTAAATAAATATCAAATTGTTAGTAATGATTTATTTACTACTAACACGTATTACGGGTTGCTTACTGCTAGTATACACATTATTAATATAGAAAAAAATACATATATATATATATAGAATTCAATAATAAGTATAATAATAAACATAGATATATATCTAAATTTTTTTTTGTATTTATTTTTTCGATTATATACTTAAAATTACATTACTTATAAAAATATCGTTTACATGAAATAAAAAAGAGAATAGCTTTCAATATTAAATGTTTTGGCGTTTTTAGCATTAAAATCAGCTTTTACGAACAGACACGCTTTACTCATCACCACGTATGTCAGATATCATTTTAGCAGCTTGTTCAAAGTATTTTCTTTGCTGAGCATTTTTTTCAATAATTTTCCTTGCCTTATTTTTTTTCAATAATTTTCTTTCCTTTTTTTCAATAGTTTTTTTTCAATAAGTTTCTTTGCTGAGCATTGTCGACAACTTTAATCGTTATTTTGAGCAGACTCTCGGATCAAATATATGTTAAAGAGTGTTTGTAAACACTCTTTAAACGCCTTTTACCTCTCATTAAATCACACGAAAAGAGACCAGTGTTCTGGCCAGATTTAGCTTCAATTCATTAACGGAGCTGATCTCGTCTTTGCTGCACAGCTAGTAAAAGTTCTTGACGATCATCCTCGTTGTGAACATTATTCACAAACTCTAATACAAGTTTTACAGCCCTTTCAGAGCTATCGTTCACTACTTCAAGTTTACTTACAAAATTGGAGAATGTTTTGAACTGGTCAACATAGCACCACATAGGAGCAGGAGAGTTTAACCAAAGTTTATCCTCCATTCTTGTCAGGTTTAGCAAACTGAAGATGGACCAAGAGCTCTCTCCGATTAATCGAGCAAGTCCTGGTGGCACTTCTTGTTTAAAATTTAACTCTTTGATCAAGTTTGACTTCTCTGAATGCTGAAAATGATCAGGAACTGGTACGGAGAATAATGTTTTTGCAATGTTTTCTCTCTCCACATTAGAAAGGTCAGGGTCTAGGAGAGCAAGTGGAACTAAAGTTTCATCTAAGTATCAGGTGGGAAACAGTCAAATCAAAGATGTGTACTCAAAATCTGAATTTTCAATTAGTAAATGGCTTTTGACATGAACCTAGCATGAGAAGCACAGCCTGGAGCTCGAACTTTAAAAAATATTTCAGGATGCAGATACATCAGGTTAAGTTCCAATAACTCCCTATAATCCCCTCTGGGAACAATGTCAGTGTTTAATGCATCCTTGCAAAACTGGATAGTTTCCTCAATCTGGGTAGCCAAGAAAGTATTGCTGATGGAATTGATATCAAACCTTATTAAATTGGAAGGATCAACAGTTTCTTGATGCAATTCCAGTTTGTCTGAAACCGTTTAAGCATTAAATTTTCTTGATGTAAATAAAGTTGATTGAGACAGTAAAAAATTTTCAACATTTCCACCTGAATTAACAACCAAATCTGTACACACATGCAACAAATCTCTAGAGGAAATATTTTTGGAAACTGAAGTCATGGCAATATCTTGTACAAAATTCTTGGCTAACTGCGACGTATCATTACTTGGACCTGGCTGTTCGAAATCAAAAGAACAATCTGAGTCCATGCTGGTACTTGTATCACTAGTTTCAGAAGAAAACTGAAGCTCTGTAGTCGAATCATCTCTCTGAGAAAACTGTTCAACACTATGTACTAACTGTGGATGTTTCAATCTTCTCTGTTCTCTCTTCTCAACCCTCCGGTTATATAGCTTGTCTTTTTTACCCAGAGTCATTTTACGTCTGGCCTTTTGATCTCTCAAAAATTTCATATCAGTACGATAGGGGACCTTATTAAGGCTTGTCTTCTTTAGAATATCTTGGATATTTGGTTTAGCAATCAAGAAAACCTTATTTCCTTTTTTTTTGAAATCTTGTCTAGCTTTTCCTGCTTCTTTCGAGTTCTTACACTTTTCTTTAAACTCTCCCAGCTGTTGATCAGATCAGTGATATGCTTCCTATAATAATTTTTAACTGGTTTAGAAAATATTATATTATCTTATATATTATATTTGTATATATTATATTATATTATCTTACAATATTATATTTATATATATTTCATTTATTATATAAATATATATAATAAATGAAATATATATATATAAATATATTTATATATATATATATATATATGTAATATATATATATATATATATATATATACATATATATATATATATTTCATGTGTAAATATATATATATATATATATATATATATATATATATA